GAACAGCCCCATCACCTCAATGAAATGTTAATTGAGATGCTCATTGCTGATAATTTAAATATCAACATTGTTTACTAATTCACTGCTCATCAAAGCATATAAGAAGGGAGAGGAAAGATCACACTGTGAATACAAGTGCAATCTCATTTTAGTATCACATTTTGAACATCTGCACAAACTACTATGTTGTGTAGTTGAGACAGTAGCTTATTTTGTGGTTGGTCCTTGGAAGAGCTGCACCACCATGAATTTTAAATTTGACCCCTGATTATTAAGCTTAACACTGGCTTGAACACTGAAACTCTGCATAGTAGGTAGCATTCAAAACCTCCTCTCCCCTCTTAGATGGTCTCTTTTCTGTGGGATTATCCTAGTTTAGTTAGCACAGGGGTGGCCAATCCATTAACAAAGAGAGCTGGCAGAAAAAATGCGAAGAGCTGCACCTGAATCGTCAAGAGAGGGGGGGAAAAAAGGAAAGCCCCCCAAACGCCCCTGAATTGTCAAGCAAAAAAAAAAAAGATGCTGCCCCTCCCATTGGCTGCCACCAACTTTGATGCCATTTTTAATTGCTTCCAGATGGCTCCCCTGCTCCAGAGAGCACAGGGGAGCCGGGGGCCATTTGGAGGGGTGCAGGGGCAGCTTTGCGAGCCGCACTTTTGGGGGGGGGGAAGAGCTGCATGCAGCTTGCGAGCTGCAGGTTGGCCACCCCTGTGTTAGAAGTACCACCTTTCCTTCTGAATTCAGCTTCTTTTGCTTAATTCTGTTGAATAATCAATCCACCTTTCTAGCAGACCCGCAAAGCACTATAAGCAATGTCCACTGAGGAAGAAAAGTGAGTCAGTCTTGGCTCAGTGACAAGAGAGCAGAAACTAGGGAAAGGTCAGTGGCATTTTGGCAGTGCGCTGTACTGCTATAAGGAAAGGAGAGCTTGGATTTGAGACCCTCGCCTCTCATTCCTTAGTCCACAATGGACAGGGGCTGTTTTGAGTTGTCAGGTGGCAGAAAGGTTTGGGGGAATGGGATATGAAAGATGGGGAATCTTCTCTGTATACGCTGTAAATATACCAAGAGTTTCTTCCCAACACATGAAGGACAGATATTCTAAACAATGACATATGCACTACCTATCATTACCGGGCAACCAGAAACATTTTTCTGAATCAGTTATCATACAAATTTAAACTCAGAACCATTATAAAAACCCTATCATTTTCATAGTATGATCTCTGTATTTGTACAACTGCAAATGGAACCACCAGCTTAAAAAAAAAGTCATACATATAAACAGAGAGGGCCAGATTATGAAATGCTAACTCACATGAATGAGCAGTTACCCACCCAGGGAATCTCATTTATTTCACTCAGATTTCTCAAGCAATTAATTGCTCATCAGTGGTACTATGGGATTCACAATCGGGCTGTGGAGGCCACATCCTACCCTAGCAGCGAATGGGGCAACCGTGCTGAAGAAAATAAAGGGAGAGTGCCCAGCTACTGCACTGGCTAGTGCACCCAGGCTACAATAAGGTTTAATTTGCCAGGCCTCCAATCAGCTAGCAAACATCATGTCATCTACAGCATTAGCTAGCTGGGGCTCATGCAGCCTCTTTTCAGAAGAGTACAAACGTGTGTTCCACACTGTGACTTTGCTGCTTGGCCTGTCCTATCCTGCTCTGCATTGCCAGGGTGATTCCTGTCACTAGCGTGTAGTCAGCATCACTCCACTTCTTCCCTACATCCCTCGCTGTGGCTTCTATCCATTGAAGCATGATTTCACTCTACGGCATTATTAGAAAGTTCAGTGTTCTGTTCTGAAGCCTGATCTTGTAATGAAAAAGAAAGCGATTAAGTGACTGTGGCAGTTCAATCAGTCTGGAGCCCTTTTCCCAGTGTCCAAACGGCGTCCCGTGCCCTCTGCCGCCTTAGTGTCCCCAAATTCCCGTGAGTTTTTGTTATCCCATACCCATACATTCAATAGTTTGATATGGGATTTTATGATCCCCTTCCATATATAGTGAAGAAACCTGTATACCTAGAAGGGGGTAAGGGGGCCCCGGGCCCTCCCTCTCCACCGGGTCCCAGCCCGGGTCCCTAAGGTGTAGAGATGAGTAATCCCCTAGCCGGCTGATGGGGCACGGCCTCGAAACTCATCAGCCCACGGGCGCCAATACTGCCCTGCCCTGGGCTGCTTCCTTCGCTGTCTTTGCCTTTACACTCACTGACCGGGGTTCCTACTGGGTTCTCCCAGGCCAGGTTGCCCTCGTGGAGGCGGTGGTCCTTTTGCATCAGTCCGTCCTCCCCTTTGGCTCTGGGTTGAGATGACCCCTCTTCCCTTTGGAAGCTCCAGGACTCCCCAGCTTTGCCCTGGCTCTGCTGGTCTTGGCCCTTTTGAGTGGCCTGCCATGTTGCGTGCCGGCCGCACATTCTGCTGTGCCGGCGTTATGATGTCCAGCCATGTCACCCCCTCCTTGGGTTAGCCCGCTCTCTTTCCCCACTGGCATCCCCAGGCGATGGGGCCTGTGTGAGCGGTGTGGTGTCCCCGCCTCTGCATGGCTTGCCTCGCCCTCCGGGAAAGTGGCGGCGGCTTTGCCGCTGCTAGTGCGGGGCCGCGTGTCCCCGTCACAGTGACAAACAACAAAGTGTCACAGAAAATGGTTACTCTTTAGATGAATCTAGTTAACAGCCGTTTTCTCAGTGGTCAGTATTGGAACCAATGCTATTTAAGATGCTAATTTTGTTAATGATTTGGAAGAAGAAACGGACAACAAATTAGTACATTTTGCTCATGACATTTCATTGTTTCATTCATGGACAACAGTGACAACCTCCAGAGGGACTTGCACACATTCTGGGACAATCTGAGACAAGCACCTACAAAAGTCATTCACATGTAGCTGAGCCAGCTAGAGGCAATGAGACACAGAAAACGGAACACAGCCTGCAGATGTGCTAGCTTTTGGTTCTCAGCTTCATCAGGATATCAGAGATTTGCCCCATATAAATGGAGTTTGTTAGCTTTCATTTTTATTGCCTCTCTTGGAATTGGCAAACTTAGTCGAGGCCTCAGGTCTGATTCATTCTGAAATTCTGGTAACCAAAAAGAGTCAATCTCATGCTCCTAAAACTGCAGCAGAGATGGCTATCTTTTGCTGACTCACAGAACAGGTACCAAACAGGATGCAGCTATACAAGGGTTACATCAAACTGCTTTGCTAATGTGCTTTAATCTTTTCTTGCCGGGACCACCTACAGGTAAGACACAATGGGCCTCTCAAAGTCAAATGCCTCTCAAAGTCAAAAGAAAGCCTCCTTTTGCCTTCTATGGCTTCACATCAAGCACCCTGTCAAATTAATCCTGGGTATTTTTTCTGAGACTTCATATAAAGGTGCTAATTGACTCATGGGGATGATTTTGTTTTTTTAATGTGAACAATTTTGCTTTGAGAACTACAGTTAGATCTCCAGACCCATTTCACAAATTATAGGCCACTGAGGTGCTATCTCCAACATTTGGTCATTAACTGAACCATAGTCTAACCTAATGATTTCTTCAGTCTAAATTCTCAAACTTCAGAAAAGGCCTCACAGAGGTGTCTAAATAAAAGTTGCTTGATTTGTAGAGAGATGGAGCACCGAGCGCTCCTATTTACTCCACCAGGCCTAGTTTTCTTCAGTAATGTGTCAGAGTCTCAGAGGGGCAGCCGTGTTAGTCTGTAAGTGAAAAAACTTAAAAAAACCCAAACAAGCACCTTAGAGACTAACAGGAAATGCAGATGGTGTCATGTGCTTTTGTGAGCACAACCCACTTCTTCACGTGAATGGAGTAAGGGGTCCAGTATTTGGCCATTGGTGTTAATTAACAATGTGCACTTTTGCTAAATCAAAAGCTTTGGCGGTATAATTACCAATGCTAGAGCTTGCCCCAGAGAAGCCCATCAACCTCGGATACTATTCTTACTTTGTTGCTCAAACAAACCATTTCAGTATCAACACATAGCCCATTATATGGTCCCAAAGGTAACTGTCTTTTGGATTTTGCTTGTTTGGTCTGAGGGGAAATAGGGAAAACCTTTTCCTCCTTGAGAGCTATTGATTTAATCAGCAATTGGCGCAATAATACATCGCTGTGGAAATATTTCACTGCCTCCCTTCCAAACTCAAGCAGTTGATAAAGCACATTTTAGTAATAAATGCAAAGAACAATGCACATGTCCTTTAACTGTATAACTTTTTGAAAGGTTTCCACCCTGACAGTTTCAGACTGTGTGACTTGTAAAGAAACATGCTACGTGAATATGCAGCCTGTGCTGATAAGGGGGTGGTGGTGGGAAGATCTGGATAATGTAGGCATATATACAAACCTGCTGCTGTCATGTAACCATTCCTCTTTCAGCAGCTCTGATTAGTCGAGATATTTGGTGAATTTCCAATTACTTTGCCCAAAGATGTCCTGAACTCTAACAGTAATTCCCTGAGAAGGAAAGTCTTAGGGCTTAATTTGACCCTGTCATAATCAGATGCAATTCCACTGACTTCAGAGGAGTGACAGACTGCCCTTTACTGTATAACTGGGCTGATTTGGCCTTTATACCATAGAGTAGTTCTGCTTTGGCTAGAAATCTCTGCTTTCAAAGTAATTAACCAGATGTCAACAGCCTGCAACTCTGAACTGCAATTAAATAAATGAATAGGAGGCAGATGTATATTTTAAAATGTATCCCTGTAAAAGGACTGCCAACAGCAAATAATGGTCTTTTTTCTTTTTAAGATCAGCATTTAATGCTAGTGTAACTGAAGTTTTGTGGATCAATACCAATTATTTTGTATGTATTTCACCCTCCTCCAGCTTCCTACATGAATACAACCATGATAATATATAAAAATTGTGGATGCCTGAGGATTGACCTGTTTTTCCTTGCAAGGAATCTCACTGCTACAAATTCTGAAGCATTCCTTCCTAGCTAAATGCCCAATGAGAGAGACAGAAGAAAGTTACTTACTGTTTCGGGGTTTCTCCTCATCCATGCCTTCATCTTCATTTTCTGGATCAATGTCTTCTGCTTGAGTTATCCAATCCAAATATCCCTTCAAGTCTTCCTCCAGCTGTTGTTTCTCCCGCAACTTCTGAAAGTCACCCCGAGCCTTTGCCTTCTCTCTTTCCTTGGAAAACTCCCTGGCAAGAAAGAGGGAGGGACAGGATGTGGTGGAAGAGATTGAAAAACAATGCGATTAGATTGGTTTGCACTGGAGATATGACGACCCCTATCTTGGACCCTCAGTTGCCTCTATTCATTCAAAATCACATTAATATGTATGTGGAGTGGTCCTTGTCAGATATACAGACATAAGAGTTGAAGTGTCTGGTTTCTACATACAAATGTTGGGGAGAAGCTAACTCTCAGCATTTGGTTAAGAATGTAACTGAAACTTACATATAATGTTTATGTAAATATTTTTTATTTTAATGCTTCGCCATATGCATCTTTTAACCAGTCACTTGTGAATATCTGTTATTATTACACTAGTTTAATCTGATGACCCATATTAAATGTCTGGCAATAATCTGACAGCTGGAGAGAGAGACTGCAGGGTTGTTTTTTAGCCAGATCTCAACCTGATTGCCTAAACAGAAGCGCATTTGCACCTCAGTTGGTGCAACTGAGGTTAATTAAATGCACCCACAATTCTGTTCACACATTTAATTGAGGGTGGAAAACTGCCACAGCACAGGATGCTTTATTTGAATATTTAGGTTCATGTGTTTTGCCATAGGTTTGCAAAACTAGACACTACCACCTGCTTCCCCCTGGCCAGAAGAAAGCATTTGCAAATCCACAGTTTGGGGGACAACCATTAAGAATAACGGTTACAGCCAGAGAACAGATTTGGGGTGAGCATTTGGCAGCTTGATGAAAAGCCATTATATGCACTGGCTGCGTCTAGACTGGCAAGTTTTTCTGCAAAAGCGCAAGCTTTTGCGCAAAAACTTGCTAGCTGTCTACACTGGCCGCTTGATTTTGCGCAAAAGCACTGACGTTCTACTGTCCGAAATCAGTGCTTCTTGAACAAATGCTTTGACGTTCCCGTTCGGGCAAAAGCCCTTTTCCGGAAATGTTTTTGCGCAAGAGGGCCAGTGTAGACAGCTAAAAACTGTTTTGCGCAAAAAAGCCCCGATGGTGAAAATGGCGATCAGGGCTTTCTTGCGCAAAACCGCGTCTAGATTGGCACGGTCGCTTTTCCGCAAAAAGTGCTTTTGCAGAAAAGCGTCTATGCCAATCTAGATGCTCTTTTCCGCAAATGCTTTTAACGGAAAAACTTTTCCGTTAAAAGCATTTGTGGAAAATCATGCCAGTCTAGACGTAGCCACTATATGCTTAAACACAAGACACCATCTTGCTTATCTGACTGTTTTGATGGGTCTTAGGAGGACAATCTCCTGCTTCCTCTGTGGACAAAGTAACTTTTTCTGAATAAGCTGTTTCTGGAGGTTCTATAGAGCTCTCTGGTTAGATACTGGACTTCTTTCACTAGAGGACATCAGATGAAACTGTGGCATGCCTTTGGAACCACCACCAGGCAGATTTGAACCTGGGATCTCTGAAGCAGAGTATAGGAGCCTTAACCCTCTGAGCTAAAAGCCAGCTGGCTCCCAGCCAAAGACATAGAAGTCTCTTGATCTTTACTGTTGCTGTGGATCAACTGTGACTTGCAGTAATTGAACTAAACTCTGCACTGTTTCGTACCACCTGTAATCATTCACTAGGCTGACTGTAAAATGCCTACTTTGTGCAGCTGTTAAAGGCTATATGAGATACAGGCAGTGGAGAATCAAGCCCACCATTTCTGAACCATCCCCACTCATACTTTTTGGCTAGTTAATCTGTATCCTTTTGATGATACTGCCAACAAAGGGTGGGGGGGGGTTCAAATGCACTTAGCTTTGGTCTATTTCTGCCCCCATTGAAGTCTACGGGAATTATATCATTGAAGCCAAAGGAAGCAGTTAGACTAAAGCTAAACACCTTTGAAAGTCCCAAACATGTCAATCAGTGCCAGGTGCAGTGTCCTACGGGTAACTCAGATGGAGTTGGGAGAGGAAGTGCTTCCCTTTCATCTAGGATGCAATCAAAGGCCAATGAAATCACCGGAAAGGCTCCCAATGACTTTTGTGGGCTTTGAATCAAGCCCTTTGTGAGACCTGACTCTCGCCTGGGCAGCAAGAGAATAAACAAAAGGAAAGGTCTTCATGAATTCGACAAACATGCAGAGTTCCACTTTGAAACAAAGTATGCCTGCATGGTCCTCTCCTCTGCCATCTTGCTTGAGTTATGCCCCTCTTCATGGGATTGTGATAATGAAGAGTTCAAAGTGGAAAGTAGCTGTGTTGGGCCCTCAGGACTGAAAATAGCTTCACAATAAGTCCTGGGAGAAAGCTTTGCCATATGTCAGAAGTGAAAAATCAAGTGTTCTTATCCTGAAAACCACAACTGTGTTGTCTGGAAATGTAAAAAAGATGGATGTTGAAAAAAATCAATCAATAATAACAATAATGCTTTCCACTTCTATAGCATCTCTCCTCTGAGACTCTCAAAAAGCTTTACCAACATTAATGAATTTAATGCTCAGAAAACATGACCTAGGGAACCACGATTAACCTTTATTTTATAAATAGGTGAACTGAGGAAAAGTAAGATTAAGGCCAGACACTTCCAACTTGAATGCCCAAAGAAAAGCACCTAAATCAGTGGCCTGATTCTCACAGGTGCTGAGCATTTGACACCACTGGAAACACATTTATTTAGGTGCCTAAATATGAATTTAAATGGCTAGATGTGGGCACACAAGTGTAAAAATGTTGACTTTTGGCATAAAGACTTGGCCCATGTCACACAAAATTACATGCCTGTACAAAGGGCCAATAAAAGCCTATGCACTACTTAAATCCTACTTAAAACCTCTTCAGAACCATATAAGTCCTACAGACACTGGGCACTAGCAGGACTTCAGGGGTCCCTAACTGGACTTAGGTAATAGACCTTGGTCTGGCCCCACAAATGGCCAAATTGAGACTAGAATCCAATAATGCCAATTCTTAGTCCAATGATCTAAATGAACAGTATTGGCACAGACTGTTCCCTTCACAAAATGTAAAGAGTGCTTCCCATTTCAGAAAACCTTCTAATGAAATGGTCTTAATCAAATGTGCTTAAATTCTACACTGGAGTCACATTAAAACTTGACACTCGAGGGCTATGTGGACCAGGAAACTGCTAATGAAATTCAAAGCATTTCATATTTAGGAAGCCAGTTAGAATCCAGGCTAATTCGATTGTTAATGACCAACTGTTGTTACTGACTAAAAGCTATTTAGTATCCGATGTGAAATAAGCTGGTGATCTCAGTTCAGTTCCTAGGAGGCACATCCCCTACACCACCATCACATTTGACACTAATTGTTTTTATTGGCAATCTCAGCAGGGAGACCCAGGACCAAAGGAGTGTGCTCACTGAACTACCATTTCAAACCTACATGTGGTCTCCCCAGAACAACACTGAAATGCAATGGGAGAGTGGCATGGTGGAAGCTTACAGGAGTAATGCCATCCTCTTTTCAGTGGATAGACACCTTCAGTGGAGGGCTGCAAATGTGGCAATCTTTACCAGCATTCAGTTTACTAGAAATCTTTGCTTGGGTACAATCTCAACAAATGGAGTGTGTGGGGTAAATTCCTCTCAGTGTATATGAGACGGGGATGAGTCTTTTTGCCCTATATAATCTAGGAGAAAGCTTTTCTTTCCTGCTCTGATAACTGGATGCACAATTATTGTTCTATACCTCATTTCTTTGAATTCTCTGGTGCTCAGATCAGTGATGGAAAACAAGAAAACCGTGAAATTACAGCTGTTTAAAGATCTTGGCAACTGCTTTAAATCCAGCATATGGACTCGAATCCTATTTACTCTGACAGGTACAGAATATCCTCTCAGCTTATCATATTTTTGGGTTACTATTAGATATGGACAGAACTTCAAACATGTATCTGAATAACACTATGCGTTACTGGTATGCAGAAAAGTTGAATCTGAATCTGACTAACACACTGACAGCAAGACCATTATTTCTAATGCCATTAAACAAACACAGATGTAAAACCCTAATCTTCAGGGGATTGAAATCTTGAGTCAAATTTGCTGCTGTAATTGGTACATGGAATCCATTTTTCTGAACTGGTATGGTATTTTCTTTAGAAATACATCCATATTCCTTATCCTCAGTCAAGCCAGTGGCCAGACTATAGTGATGTTCATGTATTTGTATAGTATTTACTTTAGCATATAATTAGGTATATATAATATGTTGTGTGGTTTGTTCATAATGACTAAATGGAATGATACACCCAGGAATGACTGATTATGGCTCTGATTTTTAGGCAGAACACAGTTCAACCTCAAATTTTGCAACTGCCATAAAGTAGGTACAATGAAGATATCTTAGTTGGCATCAGTAATTACACCCTAATTTAACTTTGAGCATACAATTGTATTCATTTCATTAGGAAGTGGGGTTTTTTTTATTTAAGCCTATATGAGTAAGAATAATAAATAATGAAGTATAAGATAATGGTTTTCCAAAAAGACATGCTGGATATAAAGTGAGATGCACAGACTGGATTACCTGGAAGGTACTGATCACCAGGAATATTGTTTTGCAACATTTGTGCAGAATGGATCAATAACACAGGGAGTGCCTTAGCAACACCTGGCTCTGAGGATTGAAGACTTTTCAGGACTTAGTACTGTTCACAACTGTGTTTGAAAGTTAGCTCTTTGAGCATTATATTTTTTGGAAACTTCAACTCCTCAGGTTACTAAGAACTAGGAGTCTTTTTCAGGGATGTTAATAGAGAATGACTCCCAGTGTGATCCTACAGGTTGATTATGAAAAGTACAGCAAAATGGTACAGTCAACACAGGCAAGGAGATTCAGCTCAATGATGTAATTGTGGATGGACCTCTTGTTTGATCCTGGCTGTCTCTAACAATTCCTTATGTGTAATGTAGCTTTTGTGATTTCTTAGATACTGCCCAGGTGGGCACTGCTTACCCTACCCACATCAGAAAATATACAATCTTTAATTATTGCTATTGATGTTTTGTCATGTAAAGATGCAATCAGTTTGGCCTGCCCACTTTCCTATGCCACCAATCTCCACTGCTGTTTTACATGGCTACCTGCCAATCTGAGTGACTAAATGGGGGAATCTGACTCTGATATTAAGGAATTCATTTTGAAAACTGGACCCACAGTATCACTCTTCAAGTATCCAAACACAGACTATTACCTCCCTTCCTTATTGGAGCCTCTTTTTCCTTTCAATTCACTCACATGAAGCTCCTATCCAGGCAGCAGTTGTCATACCTGCATGTGTTTCTCTCAGGAGGGGATGATGCAGAAGGTAATGAATCCTTCTCGAAACCTGCACTCTCTCTGAAGGACAGCAAAGAAGGTTGCTAGGGCTATTACAGCCCTCCTGTTTTGGTTGCCTCTGAGACCATGGACAACATTTCTGTGATGGCCCTAACTCCTGCTAAGAGAGTGTCACCCTTGACATGCCATGACCCCCTCACCTCAAGAACCCCTTGTCAAAATGAGAGGTGAGGGTTAGAGAGGTCAGACAATCTGAACGGTACAGGCATTGATCAAACTTCCCACAAGGCTCAGCAGACTAAGTACTAGGATCAAGATTTTAATTAATTAATTAATTAAGTAAATAAAAGAGCTGCCTAAACTTAGACTTCTAAGACCCTGTTTAAACACCTATATAGAGTAGTGTAATTTGAACAAGCTTGAGCACCCAGCAGTGCCTAGATATGGAAATGGGAATCTAATCCTTGGCATCCCTTTTTTGAACATCATATCAAGAATGTTTATTGACTTGAATCTGCTCATTATCTGGGCCACCAAAGTGAGCACAGTGTTTAACTCCTGGGTACATTAACAGCTGGTTTTATGCAAGGCAATTGCTTAGTTGGCCTCAGCAATGATGCTTCTGTAACACAGGTTAAAATGAAGAATTAAGAAACAACAGCATCTCTTGGGGACATTTTAATCCTCCTGCTCAGAGCCTCCCCTGTCAGATGACCATGATCACCCTTATAAAACATGACAAGGAAAAAAACTCTTCCTGCATCATGCCTAACCCCCTAATGTGTACAATAAAGAAGATGTGCCTATTACAGAAAAACATGTTAGTCTGTTCATGGAGAAAATAACTCCCCAATCTGCCTACGTTTCAAAGATATTAAATAAAAGAATCTCTCAGTTGAGATGGAATAATTTGGCAGGACTCCTCTTTTACAGACATTTTGGGATTTGCCAAAGATGCTGCTAGTCATGTCTGCTTCTGCTGATTTTTCCAGGATTTTAACAACAATCCACTCCTGGTGTGGTAAATGATGTGCTCAGCCTTATCTAAGCAAATGTATAGGGACTTTTAGTTTCATGACACTTGCTAAAGGTTATTCTAAGGAGAAGAGTATTTTAAAGGCAAGGTTTTGGCTTTTCATAAAGAGATTTACTCAAATATTTCCCCTATTCCGGGGGAGCATCTGATGCCCTGCTTTGGTATTTACACAGCAAAGCCAGGGGCTTCTTTTAAACATTTTGGAGAGTGACCCAGTATGGCCCCGTTATATCCATAACCAAAGAGAAGGAATAGAGATATAAGTTAAAATATAAATAATAAAACATTTTCCTGGTTCTGCTTACCCGCTAAGTACACCGAGAACCAAGTTAAGTACAAAAAATGACCCTATGATGATTAGTGTAACAAAATAGATCCAGGGCCAGTCCCTTCCTATGGCATCATTGACCTGGAAGAGTGGAATGATAATTAGTGAGACAGGCTCAGTTTCTGAGCACTGCAAGGCTCCAGCCAAAGGGATCCCAGGTCACCAGCACCAGGATTTTCAAAGTTTTGACAATCCAAATTGTCTTCTCTCCAGTCTAGTTGGAGCTTGGTATTTTGGTTGGGCTAAGATTGCATTTCCTAATTAGAGAGTAGCACTTTGTTATCACAGTTATTTTGGCTGACACCATTTTAAATTATTCATTTCAAAACCTATGTAGAAGTTTCCTTGGATTCAGACTTTTATTTTGGATGGAGGTGGGTCAGGAAGGAAGGCAGGGATCCTGGTGACCGGGAGGAACTCTGATTGTGGAGTCTTGCCCTGCAGCATTGGAAAAATGACATTGAAAACTGGCAGCTTACCCGCTCAACACACCAAGAACCAGATTTAGAACGAAAAAGGATCCAAAGATGACCAGACTGACAAAATACACCCAGGGTAACTCATAGCCCATAGCGTCCTGCATCTGGAAAGATGAAGGAAAGTTAGGAGAGAGAGAGAGAAAGCAGAACTGATTAGGCGAAGGAACAGATGGAAAGGTTTGTAAACAGAGCCTCTGGTTATTCACACATAAAATGTATCAAATGTTTCATCTTCACTTCTCTTTCTTCCCCTTTGATTCCTCTGTTCTCAACCTGTTTCCACATAGGTATGAGTGTCTGTGGTCCTTTACAAAATCAGCTTTTTCCAACATGTCCCACACTGTGTGATCTCAGATAATACTTATTTCCCATTCAAAGTAGAAGTGAGAACTGTGGTACCTCTAGTGAGTGGCAACCATTGGCAAATGCTTTCTCATAGCATCTTCCTGGTTATTCTCATACTGTTTACCATAGTCATGGCAGTCTTGTGTCCTAGGCCACGTCTATACTACAAGGACACAGCAATGGCACTGTGCCTGCACAGCTGTGGCACTGAGACTCAAATGCTTCACACGTCAGTGGAAAGGGGATTTCTATCAATGGACTTAATCTATTTCTCCAAGAGAGGGCAGCTAGGCTAATGGTAGAATTCTTCCATCAATCTAGGTGAATCTACAGCAGGGGTTAGGTTGACCGAACTACAGTGCTCAGAGGGATTTTTTTTTTCACACACTTAGCTACATCATTCAGGCCTATCTAATTTTTAAGTGTAGACCAGGCCTGGGAAAAAAGCCCTGCCAGTGCCCCCACCATTTTCTGATGCTGTAAAAGTGCTCTCTCAACTTTTCGTACAAAACTTCCTCCTGGCTATAGAGGCCACCCATGCCACCAGGTGACTCCTGAACATGTCAGTTGCAGACTCTGCAACTGAATGGGATGGGTGCAGTGCCAACTTTGACATGAATACAGGTGGCTGCAAAGAGAGCAGGCTACAGTATTTCAAGCACAATGTCATCTGAGCACAGAACCTGCAATGTATGAAGAGCAGCCTGCATATCAATTTAGGTCCATGCAAATACTATATTCCATGGCTCACCCTTATCTTAAAAGTTTTATTAAAAGTTCATATTCATGTTCAAGTGAGGACATCTCAGAATGGGATGAACTAATCTAGCCTTCCCATTTCATAAACACTTATCTCCAAGGTGGGGATGGCACCATCAAAGAAACAGACCGTAGACAACATTTTCAAAAGAACCCATGTGTCTTAGTTAGGAGCTGAACTTCTATATTCAGTGTGCCTATGTCATTTAGGGTATGTCTACACAGCAACATTATTTGAAATAACTTAGTCCACATCTACATAGCAGACTGTTATTTCGAAATAATGTTGAAATACTGTCAAGCTGGAGGATTTCTTACTCTGACTCCTGTAACCCTCATTGTACGAAGAGTAAGGGAAGTCAGAGGAAGAGTATTCTATTTCAAAATAAAGCCTATGTAGACGCTTCCTCTTTCAAAATAAGCTACGCAATTGACGTTGCTCAATTTGCATAGCTTATTTCAAGTTAAGTCCTGCTGTGTAGATGCACCCTCAAAAGCCTAATTCCCACTGACCACACTTTTGACAATTTTATGTTGTATCATATAGAAACTGCTCCTCCTGTGGCAACGGAAGTATTTGCTTCCATTTTAGGGCATACCGTTCTTCAGTTCCTGGCATTCACACATTACCCACTGAGAAAAGAAGACACTACATCACATAACTGCTCAGGAAAATCATTCAAAAAGGCACATAACCTATATCCCTCTCATTGTAATCTTTAAAGTCCCAACTTCAGGAATTTCCAATTGTAATCTGATGACTTTCTCTGGAAGTAGCCCACAGTCAATAGGCCAATCCTGTCTCTGTGAAGGGATCTCTAAACTGCAGCATCGTAGGAAATAATTCATTTAAAATAAACTCAAAGTCTTTCTCAGTGAAGCTAGCTCACTGGCTTCCTTCCCAAGAGGCTTTATAGGTTTTGTGCCTCAAAAGAACTCCAGAACTCTCCTCTTCCCTTCATGAGTGCAGGGCTTCCTATTGTCTCTCAATTTTCTCTTGAATACATGTGTAGAATTGTTCCATGTTATTACATTAATTTATAAATAATAAAAATATCTTATATTTACACAGTCTCTTTCATCCCAAAGTGTCAAAAGGGCTATGCAATAAGAACAAATTATACAGATGTCACTTCTCCCCCCATTGAAATGCAGTCACTTCTGCTGCGAAACCCAGCACCTACTTAAAGAGCACAGCAGCATTACATGGTTTGGGACAGGTAGAATAAAGTATCTATTTGAAACCACAGAAGGAAATTTGGGCAGAATGTGATTACCCAACTTGTAATTAGACTAGGAAATCTGAGATAACACCCCTACTCTTATGAAGAACAGCATGGGATTTCTAGTTACTATACATCAGTTTTGGAAAAATGCCGTAAAATTTACCAGCACGGGCACAAAAAAGGACTTGAAGGCTCTTAAATATGGTTGATGATAATGAAATAAAACAAACAGTATGGTACTTACCCATCAAAAAAATTTACTCAACACAGAACAGTGGGTGAGTAGCATTTTACAAGTCTGGCCTAAATGTACGCTTACTGCTATGGGTCTGATTTGCAGGTGCATTCTTGGTCTTTGTACTATTTTGGCATGGAGACACTATCAGCTCCCACCCCATCCTGATGTAGGGAATAGAATGGAACAGCCAGAGCATGTTGTACTCCAGACATTCCTAATTAGTGTATGCCCCTTTGGTACTATTGCTTGTGGGTGTTGGCACACACTGACCCTGGGAATCAGATAGCTGTACATGGCACTGCAGCACATCTGTGACTGATATGAAGTGATCAGGACCTCAATTTTTCATCTCCTTTACAATGTGAAGTCATATGTATAATGAAAAGGTTGAGTGAAATCAGCATTAATTTTATAATAATTCATTAGATGTACCAAAATGACTGGTATTTGGTAAGGAGTGGATTCTATTTACTATGTCCCTTCTTGGGCTCTGTCATAGCATCTTTCTGAATGCTGCACACCCTCAATTTTCATCGGCATCAACTGTAGGGGAAAGTTTTCCAAACACTGGGTTGTATGCAACAGGCAAAATGCAACAATATGGTACAGTTTCTATACTGCACAAGATTTCTAAGCCTTGCTGAAATTGTTTAAAATACATCCTTCTGTTAAAAAAATAAGTACACCTTGCATTCCTGACCTGCCCATGAAGAATGTCTTTGGGAATTGGGGGAGAGAAGGAGGGTGAGGGTAGCAATTATGGACTGTTTGATAGGTGGTGGAAAGAAAAACAAATCCACAACAGCACCAATGTACTATCACTCAAGAAGGCCATCTATCCTTAGCTAAGACTGCATGTCACTACAGATCTGGAAATTCTTCCTGTAAAATGGAGCTTTCTTGAAAGTATGGGATAGACTGTCATCAGCTGAACAGCGTTATTGTACTTTTGTCAAAAAGCGCCTTGAATCTGAGCTTGGTCCAAAATCCTTCTTGGCTATTTTTCAAAGCTTGGTGAATATGCAGACATTCATCACTAACATACCCCTTGACAGCAGTTGGAGGCTGTCACTGCAGAATTTACTGGATTGGTACAGTTGGCTTTTGCTAATTATGCTGTTGAAGTGGAGAAGCTCCACAAGGTCACTGCAGAATTTGAAAGAGATTTATTGTCTATATGCCATTAAGTTTGGAGACAAACTCAGAATGTTTTGCATAGCTGGTGCCCAGTGAGAACAGGCATAGGCAATGCTTGGGGTACTTCTCCAGTTCCTGTTTTACACCTGTCTGAGCCTTCTAGTTGCAAGGTAAATTTTCCCTTATATTTCTCACAGTGAACATTTATTACCAACCATATGAGCCTTAACAGGAAAGGTGTATCATCTACTAACTTTACAGTTCTGCAATGGGACTTATCCTATGTAGGCTGAGTGATGATACTGTCTGATAGAGGGCACAGTGACTGCAAGCCACTGTCAGTGAAAGATTGCATGTGATAGTTATGAGGTCAGGTGGAAGTGCTAACAGCAGGTGGGACCCTACATATGATACATCAGCTGATAGTTTCCAGAAATCATCCTGTTTTCCATCACAAAAGTGCCTACCTTTTTCCAGCTGTCACATCCTCTGATGCATATATTTTACTACTCTCAGGGATCATAAGGCTAGTACGTTATTGTGCATTAGCTTTGATGTATCATTTGTTAAAAAAGGAAAGATGGTCTCATGGGTAAGGCACAGAATTGGGGTAAACATAAAATCTATTCCCAGCTCTGCCGCATGCTCACTGGATGACCTTGAGAAAGTCACTTCATCTCACAATGGTTTTCCAATCAGCAAAACAGGCTACTAGCCGAACTGAAAGAGGCACTAATGGATTAAATGAATGTTTGTAAAGGGCTATGGATGTGCAAAGTACTATTGCTATTAGTGAAGCTCTGTGGGAAATTATTCAAGAACTATCTTTTGCAGAGTCTGGAGAACCGCTGGATACTTTGGAAATAATTTCAACTACTTTGCATATCAGTCGACATA